GTTTCTATAGGACATATATTTTCATTTCTTTTGGGTAGATACCTAAGAGCGTAATTGCTGAGACGTATGGTAAATTTACATTTAACTTTTTAAGAAATTGTTAAACTTTTCCAAAGTGACAGTAACATTTTACATTCCTACCAGCAATATGTGGGAATTTCCTCCTTTTTGAACTACTTTTTTCTTTGAACTTCAAAGATACTATACTTTTGTAGTTTTTCTTCTGCCTCACTGGCCATTCTTTCTCAGTCCTCTTTGCTGGAATTCTCTTCTTTCAGACTTCTGAGCCTCTTCTTCATCTACATACTCTCTCTAGATAATTTCACTCTGCCTCAAAACTTTTAAAATCATTTATTTGCCAAAAACTCCCAAATATGTACCTCTAGCCCTAAACTCTTCCCTGAGGTGGACAAGCCCACATCTAACTGCCTACTCGACAGATCCACTTGAATGTCTAACAGGAGACATCTCAAACATAACTCCTGATTGTTCCTATTCCAAATCATCTCCTCTTCCCCTATCTCAGTAATCAGACCACTGCCCACTTTGTTTTCTAGACCCAAATCTTAGGAGGAATCACTTTCTTGGACCACTTTCTTACACCATACACAAAAATTAACCCAAAATGGATTAAAGACTTGAACATAAGACCTGAAACCATAAAACTGCTAGAAGAAAACATAGGCCATAAGCTCCTTGACACAGGTCTTGGGGGATGGTTTTTCAGAACTGGTAACAAAAGCAAAAATAAACATGTGGGACTACATCAAACTAAAAAGCTTCTGCACAGCAAAGAAAATCATCAACAAAATGAAAAGGCAACCTACTGAATGGGAGAAAATATTTGCAAATCATGTATCTGCTAAGGGGTTAATACTTAAAATATATAAAGAACTCATACAACCCAATAGCAAAAAAAAAACCTCAATTTAAAAATAGGCAGATCTGTATAGACATTTTCCAAAGAAGATATACAGATGGCCAACAGGTACATGAAAAGATGCTCAACATCACTAATCATCAGGGAGATTAAATCAAAACCACAATGCAATATCATTGCACACCCTGTCAGAATGGCTATTATCAAAAAGACAAGAGATAACAAGTATTGGTGAGAATGTGGAAGAAAGGAACCCTTGTGCACTGTTGGTGGGTATGTAAATTGGTGCAGCCACTATGGAAAACAGTATGGAGGTTCCTCAGAAAACTAAAAATAGAATTACCATATGATCCAGCAATTCCACTTCTAGGCATTTATCCAAAGAAAATGAAAACTCTCATTTGAACAGATATATACACCCCCATGTTCATTGCAGCATTATTTTCAATAGCCAAGACATGGAAACAACCTAAGTGTCGACTGATGGATGAATAAAGAAGATGTGGTATATATATATACAATCGAATATTACTCAGCCATAAAAAATAATGAAATCTTGTCATTGGTGACAACATGGAAGGACTCTGAGGGCATTATGCTAAGTGAAATAAGTCAGACAGAGACAGGCAAACACCGTATGATCTCACTTATATGTGGAATCTACAAAAAACCAAAACCAATAAACAAGCTCATAGATTCAGAGAACAGATTGGTGGATGCCAGAGGCAGGAGGTGGGGGCCGGCAAAATGGGTGAAGGTCAAGAGGTACAAACTTCCAGTTGTAAAATAAATAATTCATGGGGCTGTAATGTACAGCGTGGTGACTATAGTTAATAATCCTGTATATTTGGAAGTTGTTAAGAGAGTAGATCTTAAAAGTTCTCATCACAGCAAAAACAATTTTTTTGTAACAGTATGGTGATGGATGTTAATTAGACTTATTGTGGTGATCATTTCACATACATACAAATATCAAATCATTATGTTATACACTTGACACTAATATAATGTTATATGTCAATTATGTCTCAACAAAAAAAAACCATGAATCAATTTCTATCATTCTTCTCCTTTTAAATCTCCAATGGCTTTATAATGCGATTACAAAGATCAAACCCAGTGTGGTCTACAGGGCCTGCACGACTTGGCCCCCACCCAGTTCCATTCTCTTCCCCTCCTTCATGAGGCTCCAGCCACACCGGCCTCTCTCTGTCCCTCATCCTACCAAACCCACTGCCATCTCAAGGACTGACATTTGTTGTTTCCTCTGTGAAAAACATTCTCCCCTTGGGTTTTTGGCTGGCTGGCTCCATTCCATTATTTAGTTTTCAGCTCAAATTTCACTTTCTCAGAGAGCCTTCCCCAGACCACTCAAGCAAAAGTACCCCTTCCCCGCTTCTCTATCAAATTGCTCCAATTCTGAAGAGCACTTACTACTACATGAAATCCTCTTGTTTGTTTACTTGCTTATCATTTGATTTCTCTCACAATATGTAAGCTCCATGAGAGCAGGAATTTAGTCTGTTCTGTTCACTGCTTTTTCTTAGTGCCTAGAACAAGGACCAGCACTGAGCAGGCACCTGACAAATGTTTATGAATGATGTGATGCATATCACATCACAAAGGAATGAATGCATATTTTCTCTAAGCATCCTTTGCTCCCCTTTATCTTAGCATTTATCACGCTACACTGTAAGTACCTGTCCCACACAGCTGTAGCAGATACTCAATGAATATGACAGAAAGAATCAATGAATGTCAAAAGAGTATTAAGAGAAATAGTAACTATGCAATAATACTTTTAAAAGATTAAAAATATATTAATAATGAATGATGCATTAAATAATAAAAACTCTTCAATATTTCATTTGTATGACCTACAACACATAGCAAAAAATTATAAGAAAAATTGACTAACATTGAAGAGTAGGAGAAACATAAAATTTACTTAATAATCTCAGCCCTCAATTTTTTAAAATATGACAAGTAAACAAATATATTTTCTCAAGTTCTAATGTTGAATAATATGCCATAAATAAGGAGGAAGCAATTTCTTTCATTCTCAGGTACAGCCCCACTCCTCCATCATGGGCTGTGGCATGCTGTGACTTTTGCCTGTTTATGATCTTCCTTCTGTCTCTTCATACCATCAACGTCTACTCATTTTTCATATCTCAGATGAGCCTCACTTCCTTACTGAATTCTTAAATAGGTCAAATAGCTATCCTGATTATGAACTCAAGGAACAATGTGCTCCTCCTTCATAGGCTTGTCACAGCTGTCTGCTGATGTTCATTTGTGAGATTATTTGATATAACAGTGGGCTATATGCTTTATGAAGGCAGGGTCCATGTTTAATTTTTATTTCCCACTGAATCCCCAGTACCTAGCACAAGGTCTGACATAGGAAAATATCTGGGGAAAGAATAAATGAATGAGAGGGAGTGGTCTTGTTTCTAAGGACCCTCCTAATCCCAAGATTCTGTCCCACTCTGAATGAACTCAGCGGAGCTTTCTAGCACAGTTGAACTACACATTATACCAGTGAACCTGCTGCTTATTTAGAGCTTGAAGACCCCTGCTCTCCACTCCCATTTGCTCTCAACAGCAACTATTGCCTTAGTATAAATGGATTTTGGTTATTCAACTGGAAGGGGTGGGTGGCAGTCAGCAGACTACAAACAAAAAATATGGCCTTGTAATAAAATCTCTTATTATTTAAGGATGCATAAAATCTGATTAATAAACCCTCTCAAAACAAAGTTCCTTTCTATAGGGTGGTCTATGTGTGTAGGACTTGGAGAACATCTGGTACTCCTCAGACCCGGGTGAGGCCCCGCTGGGACTGTGGAAGGCCAGGAGGCACGCACGCTGCCTCGGGCCACAGTCCTAGACTCGTGGAGTCTGGGCTGACAGAAACATTGAGAAGGAAAATCTTTATTTAGGGGCCTTTCTTCAGTATCACCACGTTTCAACAGGAACATCACAACTTTTTTATTTAACTGGGATAGCAAACAGGTAAGATTATTTTATTAAAAATCATCTAGAATAAATGTATTTCTCAGAAAGGGAACTAGCTCATTTGAAGCACATTGTATTTACATTAAAGATAATGCTTTTGCACCCATCACTATTTCAGTTTCTTCTCTTCTTAGATGCTATTAAGTCATTTTTAACAATTATTCTATTGTTACTGAGATTATTCTAACATCTAATGAGAATATTTTAAAAAATTATGTCTTAAATTCCTAAAATAAAAAGAAACCCATGTATTCATTTAAACTTAAGAACACAGTAATGAGCAATGGGATTTGCTTTTTGTATAACTTCTAAAATTTATCACAAAAGCATAATTTCTTAGTCATACTCTAGAATTTCCACATATTATTTGTTTCATTGATACATTGCTGCTTTCACAGAGTCTGTGCTATAAAGTGCCTCATCACTCCACATATTCTAGCGTTTCTGACCTCAGTTTACAATTTCCAAAACTGAAACAGCTTAAAAAAACACCCTGAAGAATATTTACAATCCAAAATACTGACTCTCAAGTCCTCAAGAGAACAGAAAGGGGAAAATATCAAGTTTATTCATTAAAACAGGAGCCATTCTCCTCTACTTTGCTCCCCATCTGAAGCTTCCCTCTCTTCCAACATGGGATGTAGAGATGAGGGCGACTGCCCTGGGAAGGAAATGACCTCCCGTCACCTCAGCTTCCTAGTGGGACCACTGGAGCTAGGACCACACACTCCTGACTCCCACCAACCTCTGGGGACAAGCCTTCCCCAATCCCTTCTTCTCTCGTCACCCTTTCCACTGGGAGAGGTCTACTCAGAGCCCTCAACATGACAGGCACAACATTTTGGGGGAAGGTTCCTTTCCCTCTGAGAAAAGTCAGTCTTTCAAGAGGAGAGAGGCACGTCAAGTTTCTAGATACCTCTTCTCCAGTATTTCAAATGCTCAAGTTTATATAGCAAAAGAGGTCAGGTTGATTAAGTAAGTGTCCTTTGTTCTGCCCTAAAGGCACCCACTTTGTTCATAAAAGCAACAACACATGTCACACACAGAGCTATCTGTGAACTGTGTGGGTAGGAAAGCATCATGAGATGGTGCCCATTACCTGAGTAGGACTCTGAAGACTGAAATCCAAACCACAAGTAAACTCCGTATGATGTTCCACTGTTTCAAGAAGAGGGTCAGGCTTGGAAAAGTTCCAGAATCTGTGAATATAAGCAAAAAGAAATAAGTGCCAAAACTACCAAAACATTTATCTAAGAAAAATAGATCTTTAACGTAACAAAGATTTTATCAAAACAGATTCAATCAATTCATAAATGCAGAGCCCCACTACTGATCTACATAAAAAATCTAATTAAGAAAAAAATGTACTCCATTCTATTACATATAAACAAACAAAACAAAATGGGATTATTAATCAATATGCTCTTGTAAAAGAATATTATATTCCCTTTAGTATACCTTTTAGGATGGAAGCTTAACACATTTCAGTAAAATTTCTTTAATATTGCATGAGGACATTGGAGATGAGAGACACTAAGGCTTTTGCAGCAATTTCTAAAAGCATTCATGGCTGTAAAATAAGGATATTGGATTACATGAACTAACATTTTGTGATTTTAAATACTACTTCATTTCTCAAGGATTGATACGGAAAGATCTTAGGTTCAATTTAAATTTCAACAGCAATTCAAATTCTTTAAAAAGAATCTGTTTTCTTTTGAAAATTGCTGTAATCCTGAAACTATCTTTTTTTAAGACACAGCCTTTCTTATAGAGTCCATGTCAATGTAATTTCTAGAGTCAACAAAAATTGAAATATGTTTTCCCAGGCCAATATTAAGTAGTCTATTTATCCTCTATAGATTGGGAGTGGTAATATTTGCCATAATATACCTCTGATTTCTACTGTACAGAGAAGAATTTGGCTCTATTTTCAATACACAAAGTACTATTTTATTGCTAAAGCTTTATTTGCTCATCATCTTTCTTACTTGACTCTAAACACACCATAAAATTGGGACATTCAGAATCATAGAGTCATACCCTAATTCAGCCTCCCTAATGACAGACAACATGGAACACAGCGAAGGTTTGGCAGATCTCTTTGAAAGAGACTAAATACACAGAACCAACAGTCACAGTTTGTTTAACCCGGTGGTATTATTTCCCTAATAAATACAGAGTTGGTCTTACTAAGTTTGAAAAGGATTGTTGCTATGGATAATCCACTGTGTGGGTACAGGAAGACAATGAATAAATAGCTCATTTATCAGATTACTGAAACCTACAAAATATTTAAGGAGAGTGATTTTACTTTTGAAAATTTGCCTGTTCAAACAAGTGATGGAACAAGCTGCAGCCCTTATCAGCAGTCGCAACAGTGGTCTCCACTGTCTTTGCATATTTGCTCCTTTGGGTCTAGAGATAGTGAACTATACTGAAATCTAATTTTTTTAATCTCGATTTTGTTTACATAAGCAAAAGTAAACATGTAATTGTGTAATTTCATTTCTAAAACATAGTTATTCACTGATTTGCATTATTTGAAACAATAATCAAATGATTTTGTATATACCCACTATGTTCCAAGAAATATTCAAAATGGTTTTAAAAATATGCATTTAATATGGCAAAAAAATGAGTTAAAGGAACAGTGAGGGTAGGAAAGGAGACTGTAAACAAACTAGATTCCAGGAAGCTGTACACACTGGACAGAGGACCTCGAGATGCTGAGCCTTCCAGCAGCCAAAGGAAAAAGAGCCCTGAATTCATACTGTCCGCAACCAAACTGCTCCTGAACATCTGAGAAGGAAACTCCCCCGTGGGAGTCCACGGAGAAGAAACTCTCTGCTTACGGAATGAAGGGCACCCTCACGTCTCTTAAGGAAACACGGAGATGCTGTTTCACAGGCTGCTCCTCATGAGTCAACTGCATGACCCCAAAGGGCAGCCTGGTGGAATCATTCCACGGGAAGGTCAAGTTAATGCAGGTATTCAGCGCTCTGACTTCACTCGGGATTTAGATTTTATTTCAACAGAGTAGATGGGCTAAATACTCTTTAGACAAACCATAAAAATTGGTTTCTTTCAGTAGAACTTTTTAAGGATAATAAAAAGCAACAAGGATTCATTTACACCCTCCTGACAAGTTCCTGGAATGTAGTTTTTGCTGTTACTCTGTTATTGTAAGCCAGTTAAGGCTAAGGCTGCACTGGGGACAAGACAGGCAGGCCTTCTGAAAATCAGGATGCCTGATAAGGACACACAGGTGAAATCATCCAACTTCAGCTTGAAAGTGTGAGCAGAGAAGTCACACGTGCAGGAGGGCTGAGAGTCTATTCAAAAAAGTCACTCAATGGGCAGTCAGGGTCCCCCCAGCTCCACACCACAGGGTCATCCCGGTCATAACGGTACCCTGGGAAACGCTAGCAAGTATTTATCTGCATTCTACAAAAAATTCATCAGCCAAAACACATGCTAAAACTCGAGGGATACTACCTGGTGAAGGGAGCATTAGTCTAGTGAGTGACACAAGAGTGCTCTTGGCTGTTACGCAAGCTCTTGGCTCTGAAGGAAAGCATGTAACACGCAAAGTGTGTATTATGGTGCAAACATTATGAGAGGTTCATTTCCAGCAGGATGGCTGACTACGTGCCTAGACCAGCACTCTTACTAAAAGAAACCCTAAAAATCCTAGATAATACACAAAAACAAACAAACACCACCACAAAAACTTCCTGAAAGTATCAGTGAGGAACACTCAGGAAAAAACTGTGTAGACAGAAACCCAGAGCAGTACGTGGAACAATGACGCCAGCTTTTGCCTTGAGAGGATCTGCTAAATAGGGAGATCTCAAGCTTCAGTTTTCTTAACCTCAAGGGGACAAGGAGCCAGGAAAACCAGAAAACTTAATATTAATAATATAAAAATAATTTTCAGTAAACTAAAATATCTTATCAACAATATCAAGTTAAATGCAGTAAACTACACAACCTACATAAGCTGAGAAAACCAAAAGCTAAGCAACGCGTCTATAATTGCTTTTTTAATAACAAAATAAATATATGTATTTCTTTCCTCATTCCCACTCTCTAATGGCAGCACTGTTACAGTTTGATGTGTACACTTCTGGAATATTTCTGTGTATCTTCACCCCAGTTCCACCAGGAAGGGGTGAGTTGCAAGGAGGCAGTGAGCGTTCCTCCAGGTTTTCTCACGTCTGCAGTTAAGAAAGCGGGCAAGGTCTCTCTGCAATCTTCTTCGGACGCAGGGGTCCCATGATGCGCCTGTCACACAAGTCACACAGGCTCCTCTTTATTGGGAGAAGTCAGGCTACATACATCATTAACTAGTCAAATAAGACATATTATTTTTAAGTGAAATGTTTGTTTTGGTCCAGCACATATTCTATTTGGTGCCTTTTTGTCTCTGCTGATGAAATCATGGACTATTTAAGCTCTCTCATGGGAAGTAAATATACTGGACAGGCCTCCAATGATTAAAAATATTACAGAATTGTAGGAACATTTTTCATGTAAATTGGAGATGGAGAGAGAAAAATCCATCATAATATAATGTCTTGGTTGAGTTCCATTTTGCCTTCTGACTCCACAATTCTTTAACAAAGCAAGTATGTGGCACTATGTTCAATAAAACAAAAAAACTATTTCAAAAATTAAGTTGAAATCATTTTTTACTTTAATTTGAAATCTCTATACTAACATTTTTGAAATTTGGCCAATAGACGAATTCAGCAGAAGGCTAAAATATTTTTCAAAGTTCTTCCTTTTCCTTTCCTGTTCTCAACTTATGAGTTAGTCATTAATTCTTAGTGAGTCTTTTCTAACTAGAAAAAAAAGATGAGGAAATGTTTTGGCTACTTTTCAATGCCTTACATGTACATTAATTTTACGTGTGTGGGTTTGTTATTTTTGTTGTTTACAGTGCCTGTAATTTAATTTTTCAGGGACCAGAAGGCATTTTAGGTCCTCTAGTTGTGCCTCGTGGTCATCTTGTGTTCTTTAAATTTTAAGCAAATTGCACCATCGTAATTCCCTCTGTTTGCACAAGAGCTTCTCGTCATTTGATTACTCATTCCTTCACCAATTTGAGTCCTAGCATGTGCAGGTACTGTGCTGAGTACCAGGAGCAACAGAGACAGGCCTCAGCCTTCCTGCCTCAGGCTCACAGCTTGGTGGGATATACTGACATTTTTAAAAATCACAAAAATACAAATGTAATCGCAACTGACAAGAGCCCCAAAAGACAATGCAGGATGACATAAGAATGATGCCCTGAAGAAGTGACACCAAGCTGAAATCTGAGACTTGAGGAGTTAGCCAGGTGGAGAGCAAAGAAAGCAGCCTACCCCTTGTCAGCAGGGAGAATGACGATGTGACAGGCCACAATAGTGTGAGAGAGAGGAGCCTGATGGTGTAACAGAGACAAGCCTGAGGGTGTGGCAGACAGGCCATGACAGTGTGACACAAAGGAGTCTGATGGTGTGACAGAGAGGAGCCTGATGGTGTGTGACACAGAAGAGTCTGATGGTGTGACACACAGGCCATGACAGTGTGACAGGAGGCTGACGGTGTGACAGAGAGGCCATGATGGTGTGACAGAGAAGGGCCTGTGTGATAGGGAGGAGCCTGACGGTGTAACAGAGAGGAGTCTAACAGTGTGACAGAGAGGCCATGAGTGTGACAGAGAAGAGCCTGACTGTGTGACAGGGAGGAGTCTGACACTGTGACAGAGAGGAACCTGACTGTGTGACAGAGAGGCGCCTGACTGTGTGACAGGGAGGAGCCTGACTATGTGACAGAGAGGCCATGATGATGTGACAGGGAGGAGCCTGACACTGTGACAGAGAGGAACCTGACTGTGTGACAGGGAGGAGACTGACTGTGTGACAGAGAGGCCATGACGATGGGACAGAGAGGGGCCTGAGGGTGTGACAGAGAGGCCATGACAGCGTAACAGAGAGGGCCCGGGAGCTGGGGCAGGGGAGGGGAAGCAGGGCAGGGTCACACAGGTCTTGTAGGCCATGTGAAGAATTTGGGATTTTGTTGTGTAAAATACACACACACAGATACACACACACACACACACACACACCCTGAATGGTTTTAAGCAGTAGATTTATATAGTCAGTTTTGCCTTCTTTGAAAAAATTTTAATAAACTTTCTTATTTTCAAAGA